TATACCCACCATCAAAAAAGATGGGGGGTATATTGATTTTGTCATTCCGCGTGTAACACATCGAAATATTGTTCACAGACCCCATAAAGTATATATATTCTGGGACCTCGTAAGATTCTAAGACGATCTAGCTATGTCCGTCCGTCTGTCCGTCTGTCTGTTGTTGGCACGATAGCGTCCACAAAAAAAGAGATATTGAGATGAAATTTTCCCAAAATATTTTTTATTGATCAGAAATGTTTGGTATTGAAAATGGGCAAAATCGGTCAACGATTTCACATAGCCCCCATACAAATGTAGCCCCGGAATATTGTGTAAAAAGCTTCAAACATTCACAAATTCGTTGTTTATGAAATGGCACAAAATTTAGCATAAGTCAGTTTTTTGACCTCCGAAATAAAATTCTGAATTATGTCGGACATAGAACCACAATTGGCCCTACCCCCCATATAAGGTCCCCCTTTGAAAATTACTATAATTCTGATTACTGTCTTAAACATACGAATATAGCGACGAAATTTGCTAAACATGGGTTTCTTGCAAGCCAATATCTCTCCACCAAACTATATGTGGATCGGTCCATAATTGACCCTACCCCCCATATAAGGTCCCCTTCAGAAAATGACATTAACGGTCATTATTGGCGTAAAAATACGAGTATAGCGATGAAATTTGACACAAGTAAGTTTTATATGAGCCAAAATCTCTCTACCAAATTTTATGTGGATCGGTTCATAATTGGCCCTACCCCCCATATAAGGTTCCCTTCAGAAAATGACTTTAACGCTCATTATTGGCGTAAAAATACGAGTATAGCGATGAAATTTGACATAAGTAAGTTTCATACGAGTAAAAATCTCTCCACAAAATTTCATGTGGAACGGTCCATAATTGCCCCTACTCCCCATATAAGGTCCCCTCCATAAAATTACTTTAACGCTCATTACTGGCATAAAAATACGAGTATAGCGATGAAATTTCACAGAAGTAAGTTTTATATGACTTCTCTCTACAAAATTTTATGTGGATCGGTCCATAATTGCCCCTATCCGCCCATATAAGGTCCCCTTCTGAAAATGTCTTTAACGCTCATTATTGGCGTAAAAATACGAGTATAGCGAAGAAATTTGACAGAAATAAGTATCTTAGGAGCCAAAACCTTTATGTGGATCGGGCCTTAAATGACCCTATCCCGCATATAAGGTCCCTAACAGAAAATTACTTTAATGCTCATTACTGGCCTAAAAAAGCGAGTAAGGCGATGAAATTCGATATAGTTTTGTATGAGCTAACATCTCTCTACAAAATTTTGTGGGGATCGGTCCATAATTGACTCTACCTTTCATTTAAGGTCCCCATCAGAAAATAACTTAAACGCTCATTACTGGCGTAAATGAAATTCGATGCAATTCGACATAAACTAATTTTTAGCTAAAATCTCTCTACCATATTTTATGAGGATCGGTCCATAATTAACCTTAACCCCGTATAAGGTCCCTTTAAGAAAATGACTTTAATGCTCATTACTGGCTAAAAAATACAAGTAGATCTATGAAATTTGAAATAAATAAACTGAAATCTTCCTACCGACTTTTGTGAGAATTGGTCCATATGTGTATATAACCCTACTCCCTATATAAATTAACATATTTAATTCGAAAGAGCACTGTCAATAGTTAAACCCCCATTAATGGCCCTCTTTCAAATATTACAATGATGTTCTCATTAATATCGATACATAATAATAAGATATTCAAAATATCAAAGTTTATTTATATGACAGTGATTTGATGGTGGGTATATAAGATTCGGCATAGCCGAATATAACACTCTTACTTGTTAGACATAATATTTCCTAAATGTCTTATTACTTAGTGGACTCAAATTTAAGTATTTTGGGAGCATTTAAAGCTAGTGTACTCTTTGTAATGCATTAAGTGAGACAACTGTCAATTTTCTCTTTCCAAATTGTGTATCCTAGAAATCAAATCATAACTGACTTACCTAGTTCGAGATACATAATTCACCCCGAACTGCTGGGCAAGATATACACTAGCCCACTTATTTACATTAAATGTTGCTAGATTATACTATTTGTTTTCAGATTTTATTGTTTTGATTCTTTTTTTTAATAAATGACTTAATGAAATGAATTAACTTTACAAAATTATTTACACACTAAAAGCAATGATTAATGGGGTCTGGGGTATGCAAAAATAAACGGAAGTTAGTATTGTTTATTGGGTAACAGTTAAACAAACTGATTTATGGATTTATTTTAAGACACAATTATAAATTTTATATTAATTTCAGTTTATTTAATGAAACAAGTTCTCTGGATGTAAATTATTTAAATAATAAATAGTAATACTTATTAAAAATATTATTTGTAAATATGACCGTAAAATTATATTTAGCTACAGTTCCTTGAGTTAAACAAATATTGCAAAATTTAATATTTGACCTTCATACATTCCGATCCGAATAGCTTCAATGTCGTAAATATTTTTTCAGAAAATTTAATTTTCCTTCTAGGAAATACGGAAATAATTTGACACAAACTCAAACTAAAAAATCATTGAAAAAGTCTTTAGGATAATGTCTATCCTATTAGCTGGTTTACTTAGTACCAACCTGACGAACGCAAAAACTTTCGACGCAACAAAATATGAGTGAGGGAATACCATAAGGCCTCTTGGAATAATGAAACAGTGGGTAGAACCACAAAGATCCTATGGGGTGACCCTGATGAGAGCAAGACTAGAAATCTCCTCAAAATGAGCAAATCTGAAGTTAGTATAATGGTACGTATTCTGACACACAGGATTATGAGCACATCTATACAAAATTGGACGTGCGGATTCAGACGAATGTAGAACATGTGGAGAAATCAGTGAAACTCTGGAGCAATTTCTTTGCCACTGTCAGGCATTTGTCGAAGTTAGATCTTGGAAGTGATGATACTCCAGAAATAACATTCCTGACTGATTGGAAATTCGGCCAGGAAACTAAGTTACTGAACATTGAAAAATAATACATTCAGTGAACAATTTTTTTATGAACAGGATCTTGTTCTGTCGGCCAGGGAAATTATACTCACAACAGCATCCACATTGAATGCATTAGGCGATTAATCGAACAGGCAGATAACATAGATTATTGCAACCCTAAACTCTTCCTCCAGAGAAGTTTTAGTTTCGTCACCTCGGAAAACTAGGGACAGATGTTATCAGTATTCGGAGTTAGGATTAGGATTATTGTAGTCCAATTAAGAACAATATATCAGCCATAAAGAGAACAGCAAACTGGCTCTGGTTTCACAAGATAACGAATATTGTAATTATAATTTTTGTCGACTCTACATAGCGATTAGACCAGTAATGATGGATATCTCTCAACAGGATGTATGACAAGCTTGCGAAAACAGGTGTTTTATTCGGATATATACAATTTCTGTGGAACTCCGTTAAGAGTTTGCCAAAAACGAATAGATATGTATAATTTTGTATGAGCTCTCACAGACAAGAAATGACCAAGCTTGTGTCTAAACCAGGGAATTATAGCCAACTCTCACAAAACTTGTCTCCGGAAGTAGATTCCAATTGAGGAAAATTATTGCTGTCATCACCGTGCATTGACAACTTTAGAAGTTGAAGAGTCTTTAATTGATAACAACTACACAGCACTTAGGGAATGGCCGGACAGTTCCCTCTTGTCTAGGAATATAACGACATGATGCCTAAACAGTTCCTCTTGGGATGTCAACGGAGGAGTCATGCATACTTTAACATAACACAGACGGTTGGTCCTCCATGTATGTCAGGGAGGACCTACGTGAATAAGAAGAGAGCTTATGAAGATTTGGTTAGGATCTCTTGGATCGTAATTCGTATACAGCAGCGTTGAACGACATCAATGCCGCGGTTTTAGGTTACCGCATGAATATCGTTCTTGTAGGTAGCCTACCGCCTTTAGTTGAAATAGAAAGGGACAAGAGTTTATCTGCCACAACTGAGATCGGTATGGAGCAAGAGGATCAAAGCCTACTGTTCCCGACCACATTTAACTGACCAGTCCAACCTACTTCACTTTGCTTAATGGACTAATCCCGTATTAGTAGACCAATTTCTTGGCTTAGACCTTAATAAAGAACCCCCATATATCTGGCACAATTGAGACCGGTACAGAGCATGAGATTCAATGTCTAATGGTCCCGAATAGACCGTGCCATCTCCAATATATGCCCAGCTTATGGTCAAGGTAGTCCAATTTCTTGGCTTGGACCTTAATACAGTACCCTGGGATTAGAATTGTATAATTTAAGCTGTTACATGAACAAAATACACCTAAGCCGAAGAAATGCATCGGGCCTGTTGTTTGTACCATTTTATGGAAGAAGTGAAGAAACCGTACATAACGATCTGCGAAAAGGTTTATCGTCCTAAGTTCAGAAACTGTTTCCTGAATAGTTCCTTAGAATTTTCAAATCAGTGTTCCTAAGTTATAACATCACTACCAAGATATCCAATGCCACGTAAAGTTGCAGCGTTTCAATATCATATCCGCATCATCTACATTCATCTGAATGCGTTAGTAATCGTCGCGGCGTTAGTAAACGGCACGACGTTTCATTATTCCAAGTGACTATGGGGTTCTCTCGTTCATGTTTTTAATTCATTTTTAGCCCTCGTTGGGTGTAATATCGATATAAATAATGTTATATAATAACAACTATTTCTTCTTTTCTGAGATAGTCCTATTTAGGCCTATTGAGAAACTATTTAAATATAACATCCACTTACCTGTCAGATACACAAAAACCTTACCAACTAGTTTTTTTCAATAAACATCCTATTATTCCAACCCTTAAGCAATAAAACAACAACACAATTAAAATTTGCATATTTTTTTCCAAAAATTATTTTATTTTCTATTATTACTATATTACAATGTTTTATTTATTTATTTGTTTTATTGTTTATATTTTTTAAGTGTGTTACTTTTTAAAACTTAAAATATAATTTTGGCAATATAAAAAACTGATTATTACTAAGTATTTACTTAATTATTTTTATTATTATATAATAATAATTATATTAATAATTTTATACATATATATTTGTAATATTAAAACAACAACAATGATTTCTATATTTATAGGAGAATGTTTTTTCACTTAACTTAATTACTAGATGCGAGAATGGAAAGTTTACTTGTCCATTGGATGGGGCGTATAGGAGGTGAAGAGAGGGGGAGGGGGCATTAAGTATGAGGTTAATGGAACTACACATAACGTGTAATTTGAGCATAAAATTCAGAGAGGCAGGCGTGTAATTGTAAAAATGAAGGACGTTCAGCTGGCAGAAGAGCCCAACAGTAAGCCATAATGGTGAAGCTAAAAATAGAGTAAAAGAAGAGAGTAATGATTTATTAATAAAGAGAAAACAAAGAGAACCAATTGATTTAAAAAAAGTAGTGTTACAAGAGCTCTCTGTTTTTGTATGTTTCTAAAGAGAGCTCTTTGCCGATAACTGGTTTTAATTATGAGTTTCTTAAGAATTAGTTTTAATTAACAATTTATGTTAAAAATAGTTATACTTACAGCTCATCGGGACAATTGAATGGCTGCGCCAGTCTATAGCCATCTCTTAGATAATGTTCCATTTCGAAGGGATCTACTTCAGCATATGGTTGCTTGGCTGAGGTGCATAATTCCCACATTAAAACACCAAAGGCCCATGAATCACTGGCTTCTGAAAATTGTTTATGTTGTAATGCTTCCAATGACATCCATTTAACTGGACGATTTTCACTATCACCTAAACAATTATAATCGCCCGGGAATAAATCTCGCGATAGAGAACTGTCAGATAATTTAACGCGTAATTGATCGTCAATACTAAAAAGAGAAAAGAAAAAAGAGAGAAAACAGATATAAGTAACACGAATTTAATACATTTTTAAGTAAATTAAATAGCCCAGCAAACATTTTATTAAACATAATCTAAAGAAATTGAAAATTGAGTATGATAGCTGGAGCCAAAGAGAGTGTTTAAACTTTGTTTCTCCACTAATCTTTTGCCTGGTTTTTTAACTTTTAAAATAATTGAAAACCTGTTATTGCATACTTACACACAATTTCTTGTCGCTATATCTTTGTGCACCACTCCATGACTGTGTAGATGACTTAAGGCGGTGGACAAATGTGAAGACATCATTACGATTTGTATGGTGGTGATGGTGCGAGCACACGAGGGATCCAATAAGAACTGCTTTAAATTTCTGGTATTATTCATGGCAGGATAGAGAACAAATGGTGTAGTATGATCTTCAATTGAAACACCCAAAACAGATAAAATACCGGGATGTGAAGCACCATATAGGGACATGCCTTCTTGAAGTAGAAGAGACACTTGCATTTGACTGGCATGTTGGGCAACAGTCTTAACTAAAACATCCTGATTGTCATTGTAAGTACCACGATAAACACGACCGAAAGTGCCTTCTTGTAATAAGCTGGACAAGCGGACACGACAACGTTCCACGGTTAATTCGGAAATACGGCGATGCAACTCCTCGGGTTGTTGGGGTTCAATTTTACGCGGTAGAGTAGTGTGTATGGGTGCTATAATGGAGGGTGTTATATAGGAAGCTGATTGACAAGGAGGATTGGTATTAAGTCTTTGGAAACTGGAAGTTCTCATGGGTTGACCACCATGATTTTGACGTTTAGTAGAGCCGCGCACGCAATAGGCCGCTAAAAGCAGTATCAACACCAAAGCTAAAGCCAAAACACAGCCTACTACCAAAGTTATAAAGCCCGTGGGTGGAGGCACCACCGTTTCCAATAACAAAGGATCATCCATGTCCGTTTCATCCTCTTCGGCCAACAGGCAAATCTTTTTTCTTCTAAACACTAAATGAGTGACATTATTTAAGGCCCGATTTAATATCACTTCTATGGAAATGGTAACATCCACTTCGGCGGCTCTAATGCCCGAACACTTAAGGCCTATAGAAAAAGTCTGCACTTTAATGGGTATTTCACCTATTTGGGAAATATTCATGGTGGGACGCGGTAAAACTGCCTGATCCGAGGTCACCACATTAATGCTGTAGGGTAGAGGACGTCCGGCTTGACTTTGCCAAGTGAAGCTAATGTCACGCACATTGGCCGGCACAGGCACAATAAAATTTAAGGCATAATTATTGATGTGGCCATCACGTACATAATAAACTTCAGCGGAAACACCTGAAACAATAACAAGGAAGAAAAATGGAAAAAGAAATGTTAGTAATTTAGAACACAAATGAAAGAATTTATAATAAAAAGTATATAAAAACAAAAAAACTTTTGCTACAAATTTCCTGGAACTTTAGTTGTTTTTTCTATTAACCTCTCAACATTTCATAATAAATCACTGCCAGACAAAAAAAACTGGCCTCCCCCTTACGAATTGGTTTTAGCCAAAAGTGTAACAGAAGTAAAATAGTAAAATATGTATATAGATGATGAAAAAAAAAAAACCTTTTGAATTTTATGTTAAAATCTCATGATTTTTTAATGCAAAAAAACACACTAATTGTGCCATGTTCGTGTTAAATTTCCAAAAATCATGTCATGACAACATCCTTTTTATGTGAATATAAGAGAAGCTTTAGCAAGGATGCTGCTCTCTGTTAGTTTTTCTCATTTGATGCATAACATATTTTTTTTGCTGACTGATGGTTTTATGTTTAACTTATTTTCGGTTTTGCCATGTGACCATAGTTGTCAGTGGAGAACCCTGCTAGAAAGTGGGTTATTTGAAAACAAAAATTATGTTCGTGTTTTCTCCATTCTATGGGTCATAAAGTCGCAAAGGAATTCATTTTGTGGGAAACTTTTGGGTGACCATGTTAGTAGGAGAATGAATCTCCGATTTAACGACTACTGCAGGAGGTTTCACAACGACGATACTACGGAGAACATTATTTGACGTTGTCTTGCCTTGTCAGACCTTCTCTTGTAGTTCCATTTTGCATATACTTCCGGCTCTATCTTGTGTAGAGTCGTTCACTCCCGCCTCGAGTTGGTTCGATTCCATGTTGAAAACGGGCATGTAATGTTCTAGTCCCACTTCAAGGTATGATCCGTTATAGAATAACACAACCGCACCAAGTGATTCAGTATTTGGCCGATTGCCTAAGTAACCTATGTTCGTAGGACCTACAAATTGTACTTCTTTTAGCAGTTTCTGAAATCTGAAACTATAATAGCAATATATCTATGATTTCTAATAAACACAATACTAGAAAAACAACATTTGGCTTCGGTTATGCTGTATAGTTTTTCTTCAGTTTATCAAGGTTTTCTTAAAAAATCAACTCCAGATTGGAACAGTAATGAACGTATCCAGTATAAAGTTATAAAAATCATTAATTTTAGAAGATTTTCGACAAGTAGAAAATCCTGACTTTGGCTTTGCAACCAGTGGAAACAAACATAAACATTATTTCATATGGAAGGGGGCAGTTTTGTGTGGATCTGCCAATTAATAAGTAACAGCTGAACTAGCGATTTTAGTTCTACCGATCTACCGAGTAAACTATTCGAAGGGTACTTCGGTTTTGGAAAACTATTAAGATGCCTTTACAGAGAGAGAGAGAGAATTGTATTGAATTCATTCTCACGATATTTGTATATAGGCTACGTAACGATCCCATTTCCAATCGGCCAAAGATTGTTAACTCAACAACAACTGTATCAACCTAAAGTTATGGAAAACCTCAACAGATGGACTGCTGGGCATACCGCATGCTATACTAGAGCCAATAGTAGAATGTAAAAGATCATGAGGCTGATATAGATCAATTTTTAAACATGATCATGCTCACAGCTAGGGATCATTATAGCGGTGCTTTCTTCACTTTGGGGGTTCGTATTAGAGGGTGGAAATTGTCAAAATGAAGAAAAAAAAGCTAGCTGCCCTTCACTTGCACTGTAAATCTATTTGCGACTCGATATGTGAGGCAACTACTTTTTGGAGAACCCAACGAATATATCTGCAATGAAAGTCAAGAGAATAAATGCATTCGTTCGCAGGACTAATTGATTTGGTAGTAGTCAGGTGAGTCTCAAACAGCTGGGTCTCTAAGCTAATTATCGGTGGAAAAGAGCTTTTTGCAGAACCCAACGGATATATCTGCAATGAAAGTCAAAAGGATAAATGTATTCGTGCGTAGGACTAATTGATTTGGTAGTAGTCAGCTGAGTCTTTAACCTAATTATCGTTGGAAAAAAGCTAAACAAAATAGTTTAAAATGAGTGGGAAATTAGACCAAAGCATCCGATCCTGGTGTTGGAGCTGTCAACAAAACCTCCAGAGCTTCAGTGACTCCTTTTAATCCGCAATGTCGCCTAATTATAATGAAATATAGAAAGATAAAGGGACTTGTGTCTCGATATGTTCGTGATCAGAAAGTAAAAAACTTGAAACAATGAGGAACTGGTGTTTCTAACATTTCTCCATTGAAATTCCTGAAAGTATGTTGGATATTTTAAAGCTGTAGGTTTTCAGAAAGTAAACCCTTTAAAAACCCTCCGATCTCTACAAAATTACCAGTATTTGCCACTGACACACATTTCTCTTTACCCCCCAACACATGGTCAACCTAAAACCACAGAGAATGCATTGATAATGAGTTGGTTTTTGCTCAAATAAAAACACACACCAGTTGACTGACAGTCCATCCAAAAAGCACAAAAAGAAAAGGAAACAAAAAAGTTAAAACTCCACAAAAAAGTATCCTATTCCCTGATATAAACTTCATATTAAATCAAGTCACGCACACTTCATTAGTATCATCATATAAGATGTGTAAATGTGTTTATGTTGTATTTGCCACATGTGTGTAAGATACTTTTTATTTAAACTCCTCAAGAGCTCTGGAGTAAAAGGCAAGCTGTATAGTTGTCTGTGGTTTTGCCAATAAATTTGCACATAATCAAGTTGCTGGCAAAGAAGATCCAAAACATAAACTTTAAATTTACTGATTTTCAAAATCATTGCTGCTGCTGGAGTTGAGCAATACTAAGTATGTGTGTGCTACTTGTTGTAGCTGCAGTATGTAGCAGGAATTTATTAGAATTTTCCAAAACTTTAAGAAAAAAACTGGATATTGTGGTTGGCTTTTGGCTACTGCTTTGATTATAGTTCTTACTAAGGTTTCAAGCTCTCACTCTCTTTCTCTATCTCTTTCACAGCCTCTTTAAATAACAAACATTTGGAAATTTATATGAAACTATTACAAGATTTATATCTTTAACAATTACATTTTACCAGAGAAAAGTCAAAAATTTATTTTATTTAATTTTTTGTTGTTGGCCTACTAAAATATGTTTTGTGGTTTTAGTGGTTTTCGGCAATATTTATGCTTGAATGTGTTGCATATACTATTGGTGACACACTGTGCGGAGTGGTATAGTGTGGTCATTCGACTGTTGCAAACTAATTATAAATACTCTATAGTATAATTTAACTTGTGTGTGATTTTATTTAAATATTTTTTTTTTTCATTATTTCTTTGCTGCACAAGTGACATAATTTGGTTATTATTAGCTTTTGGAAAAAGAGTTTGTGTATATGTGTATGTGTGGAAAGCCATAAGCATACATATCCTGTCTTTTTTATTGAGCATTATAATAGAATAATTGGCTGCAAAATAAGCAAGCAACAAATTTTGTATAATAAGGACTCTATTAGCATAGAATTTATAATTTAATTGAGGTCAACAATATTTTTTATATAGAATATGAGTATTAAAGAAAAAGATTTTCTTTTTTGTTAAAATTTTGAATTGTGGTCAAAAATCATAAGGAGTTTAATTTGTGTTTAACTTGTTTGTTAAAGCATATGATTTAATAAGAAATTAGGTCATTACACTAGAGTTGTAATGCTGAAAAGATATGAATAAAACGAGTTGAAGTAGTGCAGTGTTGACCAAGAAGAGAACTCTTCAATTAAACGTCAATGCATTTGAGCAAGTTACGAAGTAACTAAATGCTTTCGTTTATTTTAGAAAGTTTGTGCTGTGCTTGTTTGTAAAGCTTTTTAGTTTAGCTTTTGAAAAGCTCTTTAGCAAAGTTCTCATTTTATATGGGTACATATTGGCTATATTACAAAATAGTCTATATATCCAAAAACTTGCACCATGATCAAGGTTTATTATTACATTTCGTAATGCCTACTGCTTTTTGTTTGCCAGAGCTTTGAAAAAACCCTGGAAAGCTTTCATTTGATATACATATTGTTCATGTTCCAAAGGACTGACGGACATATTGAATTGACTATGTGAGAGAAACTTTTCTAGAATGACAAATGAGAAGTTCTATAACAAAATGATCTTAAATAAAACTATTCCTTATGCTAGACATCCTAACTAGACTAAAGTATTAGCTAAGGACTTTTCAGACATGACAAATGAACATTTCAAAAGGCAAAAACTGATCATGTGTCACGATCTTATCTTATATCATACATATAGTCCCCAAATTGATCTTTCTGCGTGACGTCTAGAAAAGTTTATTGAAATCAGAGTCATATAAAGTTATCTCCACTATATAAGAGAATCTCTTCTTGAATCACAAATGGAAAGTTCAAGAATAAAGTGATCTTAAATGAAACTGTTCCATGTTCCAAACTGATCTTTATGCAAGACATACAGACTTATGGACTTATGGACTCGACTCACGATCATATCTTATCTTGTCTCCAAATTGATCTTTATTAAAATCAGAGTCATACTAGATCAAGTTCGCTATATGAGAGAATCTCTTCTTGAATAACAAATGAAAAGTTCAAGAATAAAGTGATCTTAAATGAAACTGATCGTAATGATGGACATTTACAGACGATTTCATTATTTGAAAGGGTCTTTACAGGAATTAAGTACAAATGATCTTTACATGAATTAAGTGCAAGAAATTGATCATTCCACAGATTTATCTTAGATCATTCATCATTCGTCTAAGTTTCAAATTGATCTTAATGTGTCACATTTAGAAAAGTTTATTAAAATCTTTATTCAGACTTACGGACATATTGAATCAACTGCACTATTTGCGAGGATCTTTTCTGGAATCACAAATGATAATTTCACGTACAAAGTGTTCTTAAATAAAACTGATCTTTATGCTTTAACATTTGACTATGTTATTTGCGAGGATCATAGAACAAAGTGATCTTAGATCATACATATTATCGATCTTTATGAAACATATTTGGAACAGATTATTAAAATCGACAGAGAGATACAAGGATACATTGAATCGTCTCCTCGTTTTGCTCTCTTCTAGTATCTCACAAATGAAAATTT